AGAGAGAGAGAGAGAAACATCGATGTGAGAGACAAATCAGTTGATTGCTTCCCCCACGACCCTGATGGGCTGAGGATCGAACCTGCAATCCAGGTGCATGCTATTGACTGGGAATCCAACCCTCGACACTTCAGTCCACAGGCCGGCACTAACTGCTGAACCAAACTGGCCAGAGCTAAAATTCTTAGTTTTTTTTTTTTTTTTTTTAAAGAGTTAATACTTTTTAGAGCAGTTTTAGGTTCACAGCAAAATTGAGAGGAAGGCTTAGTTTTATTTTCTAGTAAATTAGAGCCAAATTTATATCTCACATAAACAAAAGTTCTTTGGGGTCCTCAGTAATTTTTGAGTGTACAGGACTCCTGAGACCATAATGTTTGAGAACTGCTGTGCTGTACTATACTTCCACCCAAGGGATAATGTTATACATGATCTTCCATGATGAGCTTTTCTCCCCCAGAGATATGTAGGGGATCACATTAGCTGTCATTAGATACATAGCTACATCATTTTTAACGTCTGCACAATAGTCCACTGTGTGTATGTATATAGCTTAACTAGTTGGTCCCTGACTAATGGGCAGTGAGCTGGTTTCCAGGTTTGGCTATTTAAACAATCCTGGATTGGGCATTTCTGTGCATTTGTCTTTTATGTGTGTGAGGTCATCTAGAAATGGAATTAAATGGTTTTGAAAATGTGGTTAAATTTACGTTTCTTATCTGGAAACCAAGATTTCTCCATTTTGTATTACTCAATAGGAAATACAAACAGAAAAATACATAAAACACATGTGCCATTTGACAATGCACCCAGCAGCTTTTGGGCCCGTTGGTTTGAAAGGCTGACGTGATAATCATTCTCTCAAAATTCTGGAAAACCATTTCTTAATTATAAGCTATAATTATTGCCCATTTTCCACAACTCTTTTACCCATCATCTGGAAATCTACAACAGAAATAGCTTTACTGTTGATTTAACTACAGTGCTTGACTGTTGGTCATTTGTTTTCAGCACAGGGCTAATATTGACCCAGCTTTAAGGTGCTGCTGAAAGCAAGTAAGTCCCTTTGGACGAGCGGGGGAGGGGGGGGCTGGCTATTGACCTTCTAAAGTCTAGAAACAGGTATTGTCTTATTGAAGGGCATCTTGTTGATGGGCATGCCTTTCCACACTCTTTTTGGGAATCTCTGGTAATTATAGCAGACAGGGGACTTCACAAGATAGTGTTGGAATAGGAGAGCTATGATATCTAGGATCTACCGCCTCAGTACCTTGGAGACATACAATTAGCTTTGCTAAAAGACTAGGATTGAGATGGTGGGAAAAGATGGCAACTTTAGTACATCTTTAGAACTAGAGAACATCATAGCCTTCCCTTCCCAACCCAAGGGAAGAACTAACCTTTTTTTATGTGCCCACTGTGCCCAGGCACAGTATGTAATTTTGCATAAGTTTCCCAGCAATCTTCTGAGATAAGTAGTATTACCATTAATTTATTTTATTTTATATCTTTATTATTGAATGTATTACAGATGTTCCTCATTTTCCCCCCATTGACCCCCTTCCTCCCCACTCCTGCCCACCTCCTGCCTTTTCCCACACTGTTGTCTGTGTCCATTGGTTATGCATATAAGTTCTTTGGTTTATTTCTTCCCACCCCCCGGCCCCTTCTCTTTGAGGTTTGTCAGTCTAGCAACCAATTTGTTCTTCTTAATACCTTCACCTTTTTCACCCATTCCCCCAACCCCCCGCCCATCTGGCAACCAACAAAATGTTCTCTGTATCTATGAGAGTGTTTCTGTTCTGCCTGTTCATTTTGTTTGTAGATTCCATTGTTGATAGATATGTATTCATTGCCATTTTGTTTGTTCATATATTTTATCCTTTTCTTCAAAAAGACCCTTCATCATTTCATATAATAATGGTTTGGTGGTGATGAACTCCTTTAGCTTTTTCTTGTCTGGGAAACTCTTTATATGACCATCAATTCTAAATGACAGCTTTGCAGGATAGAGTCATCTTGGTTGTAGGTTCTTGCTTTTCATCACTCTGAATATTTCTTGCCACTCCCTTCTGGCCTGCAAAGTTTCTTTTGAGAAATCAGCTGACAGCCTTATGGGAACTCCCTTGTAGGTAACTAACTAGCTGCCTTTCTCTTGCTGCTTTTAAGATTCTCTCTTTGTCTTGACTCTTTTGCATTTTGATGATGATGTGTCTTGGTGTGGGCCTCCTGGGGTTCATCTTGTTTGGGACTCTGTGTGCTTCCTGGACTTGTATGTCTGTTTCCTTCACCAAGTTAGGGAAGTTTTCTGCCATTATTGTTTCAAATAGGTTTTCGATTTCTTGTTCTCTCTCTTCTCCTTCTGGCACCCCCAAGATACGATTGTTGGCATACTTGAAGTTGTCCCAGAGGCTCCTTACACTATCCTCATTTTTTTGAATTCTTTTTTCTTTTTGCTGTTCTGATTGGGTGTTTTTTGCTTCCTTAGATTCCAAATCGATGGTTCTCTTCTTGGCTTTACCTACTCTACTATGGAATCTGTGTAAATTATTCTTTATTTCAATTAGTGCCTCTTTCATTTCTGACTGTGCATCTTTCATTTCTGACTGGTCCTTTATCATGCTCTTGAGGCCCTCACTAAGTTCACTGAGGTTCTCACTAAGTTCATTGAGCATCCTTATGAGTAGTATTTTGAACTCAGCATCTGTTAGGTTGCTTATCTCCATTTCGCTTAGTTCTTTTCCTGGGTTTTTTTTTCTGTTCTTTCATTTGGGACCTGTTTCTTTGTCTCTTCATTTTGGCTGCCTCCCTGTTTGTTTCTGTGTATTACTGAACAAGAGGTATGGGGCTATCTGAGACCAGATGCTGCTTGTTTGAAAGAATTTAGGAAAACCTGAAGCAGGATGAAAGACAGGCCAATCCTATGGTTAAGCAACTGGCAACAGCTTGGGTGGGCCTGAAAGTTGGGTGGGGCGGGGCCTCAGGGAATCACCGGGGCGGGGCTACCAGTGTGAGCCAGGTTGCTGGAGTCCCAGATATGACGGGTATCTGCCACCCCAGGGAAGGGCTCACCAAAGGAACAAAGGCCTCTGACAGCATCTCTGTCCCGGAGAGAGCCCCCTCTCCAGCCCTCGCTCCAGTGCCAAACAGCTCAGTTCTTCCCTGTATGTCCTGGTGCCCCTCGAGCTGCCTCCCCTCCAAGCTTAGAGGGAGTGAGTCTGATAAGTCCATGTGTGGGCCCTTTAAGGAGCTGCCTGGGGCTCCAGCCGCCTCAGCCTCCCTGAGCCTCAGTTCCCGTTGGTTTTTCCAGCCAGAAGTTGTGGGGACTTCTCTTCCTGGCACTGGAACCCTGAGCAGTGCACCTGATGTGGGGTGAGGTCCCCTCAATCATCAGGGAGGACCTTCCCAGACAAGGGGTCCTCCTGATTTTTATCCATCACGCATGGGTGTGGGACCAGCCCGTCCACCTCCGCCCCTCACGCCTCCGCCCCTCCTACCATGCTCGATGTGGCTGCTTCTTTAATTCCATAGTTGTAGGACTTCCATTCAGCTTGATTTCAGGGGGTTTTGAATGATGGTTGTTCTGTAGTTTAGTTGTAACCTTGATGTGGTTGTGGGAGGACCCGAGACCACATTTACCTACGCCACCATCTTGACCAGAAGTCCTACCATTAATTTATATACAGAAAATAGGTAATTTGCCCAGAACCCAGATTCCACTTCCAGTATACATGACAACAGACTGTTCTTCCTCTCTACAGTGCTGCTATACAACCCAGCAAAGCTGCTGTATTTACTGTGAGATGAGGATATCAGTGGCCGTGTCCTCGTTGCAGCACCACCTCTAAGTCCAACTGCAAAGGACAAAGAAAACATGGAAAGGAAGCTATTGTTTAGTTGTCCCAAGGGAACCCCAGCCCAAGCCATCTGCATTCAGAATTCCCAGGCCAGACTCAGAGTGACTATGAACCTTATAAACTGTGGGTTTTTTTCCTTCTGATTAAGATCATGTTTTTCATTGCCATTGATTTACTCTAAAGATCACAGCAGCCATTTTTTTAAATAAAAACACAATCTAGAGTTTGGGTCCCAAAAATTCAATGTTTTGTCCTGTCAGATTATCTGTTTCCTCTTCAATTTATTTATAATATAAACCTCACATTATTTCTGCTCTGATCCTGGGACTGTGCCTAGCATTCCCAGCTGGTATGTCAACACATTTCTACAGACAATGATAAGGGTCACAATTCTAACCAAAACCTAAACATGTCAAACAAAACTAGCCTCCCTTCAATGCCCCCACTTCCCAATGGCTTATTAAAATCAACTTGAAGTCAAAACCATAAGCAAATGTGCCTTCTCCAAATTTGCAGCCTCAAGGCAGATGAATGGTCAGACATTCGCCTTTTAGGGTTGCCCTAGGAAGAGCTAACAAAAGGGGTGACAGCCCTTAAACAGCTGCTTGGGGAGGAGGACATCTGCCTCTGTTTTGCCAGCCATTCAGTGCTCAGGACTCGCCTTGAAAAGAGCATGTGGGGCTGGGGAGCAATAGTTCTGAGGCAGCCAGTTGTTATATGGCTTTTGTCTTCACGAAGCCACCCATTACTGTAGAGCCATAACTCGCAGGAAGCCAGCTGTCAGGGCTGTGGCACAGTCCCCTCTGGGTGGGGGGCAAGGGGAGAGGAAGGGTGTCTGTGGCCAAATTCCCTTTAGACACCTGAGCCTGGCTGGCTTTGTAACCGGAGAGTTTTGTGTCTTCTCCCATTTCCATCTTCCCAGGGGAGACCCCTGGGGCCCCTCTTTTCCCTCTCCACCCTTGGAAAGACAGCAGGGAGGCCCTTTTGGATTCCTTGGTTTGCAACTCCCCGAGTGCTGGGCTGGGCTGGGCTGAGCTGTGGCTGGCTGGCTTTGGGTGCTCTGATCTAGCGCTTCCCTTTGAAATCTACCCCCTCTTTTTTTTTTTTAAACCAGGTATGATGATGTCAAACGTGATGCTGATGCTACAGTTACAGACACGGCCCCTGTTGGCGCAGCCTCTCTGATTCTCCTCCTCTCCGCGTCCAGCGCTGGGCTTTTTCAGACAAGTGCATCTCCTAACCAGGTCACATTTCAGCCGCGACCCGCTATCCGTCTGTCACCGGAGTCAGACCGGGCAGGAGGAGGAGGGCTGAGGAGGACGACAGCGTTTGCTTCGCCAGCTGTGGGGTGGGAAGAAGGACATTAAAATACTGCAGGAGTCAAGACTCCCCCCAGGTCGCATCCAGACCACGATGCACGCCCCGGGCTGCGGGCGGCTGGTGCTGCCGCTGCTGCTCCTGGTTGCCGCAGCCTTGGCGGAAAGCGACGCCAAGGGGCTCAAGGAGGGCGAGACCCCCGGCAATTTCATGGAGGACGAGCAATGGCTGTCGTCCATCTCTCAGTACAGCGGCAAGATCAAGGACTGGAACCGCTTCCGAGACGTAAGTCTGCAGGACCCCGAGGGCGGAGGGCGAGGGGCACGGGTTTGGGGAGGGAGTTTCGGAGCCGAGACCCCAGCCCCGGGAGCAGCGGCTACAAGTCGCAGCCAGAGGCTCCCGCAACCCGGCCAGCTCATTGCACCGCGGGTGAACAGCGTGCACCCACCGGGCTCTGGCCAGTTGCCGCCCTCACGGCCCGAGTCTCCCTGGTTGGCGACTAGGTCTCCGCCGCCGCAGGCGGGCAGGCGGGCGCGGAGCAGGATGCGGGATGCAGCGGGGGAGGTGCAGGGAGGGAGGGGCGGAGGCCCTGTCTGCAGCTGGGATTCGGACCTGCTTCCCACCGCTCTTTTTTCTGAGTCGCCCCCAGGCCTGCACCTAGCCGAGCAGATGCTGCAGGCTTCACTCGCCCGGCACTGCGGAAGGGGCAGGTCTGGGTGCGGCTGCTGGGGAAGATAGCATCGTCTTGCGCGAGTGCCCTCTGTTCCCATCTTGGGCTTTGGGGGAGGGGACACAGAAGGGGACCGGGCCCATAGCTGGGGTTCTGAGTTTCGGGAGCGGGAAGGGTCCAAGCAATCCTAAGGTTAGATGGTGAAAGGCGTGTCTGCGATGGGGGAGGGGGGCGGACGATGGCGGTGAAAATACCCTAGGCCACCCGGGTGGCCTCCGGAACCAGGTTGGAGGTGCCCATTTACAAATGAAGGCTGGTTTTCCAGGACCAGCCTTTCATGGGGGAGCCCAACCCCGAGCTAGGGGAGCGGTTCTGATGCGGAAAAAAGACTCCATAGCCCCATATGCTTGAAAAGCAGAGGGGAAAGCCCACATGCTGGGTCTGGGGGCCCTCTGCGACCCGCTGCCCCAACCCGGCTTAACCTTGGGAGGAACTTTGCTGGATGGGGGTGGGGAGGTGGCTGCAGGGGAGCCAGTGATGCTGCAGCACTTTGTTTACCGGCACCTGTAGATCAGAGGGGAAACGGAGGTGGTGTTCCCAGAGGGGAAGTGAGTGAGGAGTGGAGGGCAGAGGGCGTGGCTGGGACCCAGAGAAGAGGGTGGGGTGGGGGTGGGGTGGTTAGGTGGAGGTTGGGCCCGGATGCGCCAATGGAGACCGTCCCAGCGACCTAGTACTCTGTGATACTACTTCCCAGAAACCCTCTTCTACGACCCCAGTTCTTGCTCCTCATTCCCAGATGCCCTCATTGCAGCTACCTAGTACAACACAAGCCACCCCCTGACCTTTCCCATCTTCTCTTAAACTGCATGCATCCAGAAGTTTCTTACAAATGTATTTGAAAAACACACTCTTCATATGATATCCAGCCAAGTGATGGGAAGAGGCAGAGAGATAAGGATCTTTTTGTTATGGTGAGAGAAACGACTGTTTCTCTCCAAAGTCAAACTGATGGGCGGTAATTCATCAGAAAGAGTGTGCTGCCAGGTCCTCTGGAGAGTGACCTGGGCCCCAGAGTGGGGTTGCCCCACCCAGACTGGTCTAGCCAAGGCGAATGGAGCTCCAGCCAGGCCTTTCCTTGGCCCCTGCAGGCCCAGCACAAATTAGCTGCAGTCTCCAGTCGCTGCCTGGGAAGCAGGCGAAGGGGGGAGGGGGAGCAGCAGGCTGGCCCATCCGAAATCCATGTGTCACTGGTCCAGGCCTCCCTCAGCCTCACTGGCTGTTTGATCTTCCACAACAGAACCGGTGAAGGTCAGAGGGAAAAGAAATGCTTAATCAGAACAGTAAAGGTTTAAAAATAAAAGATGTCTCCCTACCTCCCTTCCTCCACCTGCTTCCAATAGCCAACTCTGTGGGTGAGAATAAATGATTGGCTGCTTGACCCCTGGCACAGGGCTGCCCACCTGTCTCCCTGTATTGGTGCCAACCACTTTCCTCTTTCCCCCATGCTCATCAGCAGAAAGACACCAGATTTGAAATTCTGCAGGACCTGCCCTCATAGGATTTTTGGAAGGCTGTAGGGCATGTATTGATTTGGGTGGCCTCAGACTTTTTTAGGGCAGATTTCCTCTGAATCTGCATTTAAGAGGAGCTCTGGCTACAGGAGGACAGGGTCAAGGAAGGCTGTGCAGAGGGTCTGGCTCTGGGTGTGTTAGCAGCTTTGTGGAAAGGCAGGCAGCTGCTAGCTCAGAGCCACCGCATTGCATAACTTTAGGGAGCCACAGTGTGAATGGCGCCCCCTGGAATTGTGCAGTGCACAGACTGCATGCAGGGGCTCTGCCAGCACTACCACTTCTCATCCTTCCTGTTAGGAGAGGTCCCACTTCCCTCCCTAAGGGCTGGAGGCCCTCTGGTTGGGCACAGTAGCGTCAGGCTTTCCATATATTTCATCAGGTTAGCTTTCTTGAAAATAGACTCCTTGGCTTCTCAAAGGGGAGATAGGAGTTTCTTCTTTTGAACCTTTAAGGTGTTGTCAAGTTGAACCAGAGCCTTGTTCATAATCTATCACAAAATGGTGTGGGGTCCCCGGTTCACCTTGGTGGAAGGAAGGCAAGTAGAATGGACTCGTCTTAGGAAATAGGATGGAGGAGTCAGCATGAGTGGGGGACATATGTCATTAAATGGTGTTGGCTGAATTGAGGGGGAAGATTGAGGGAATCGTGTCTAAGGGATCAGGAGAACGAAAAGGAGGAAAGCCTGGGCAGTTATTCTAACATGGAATTGGTCCGAGTTGGTGAGGGGGGACTTCAGCTAAGCATTCTTCCTCTGAGCACTGGGATTACAGTGGTGGCAGGATTTACTAGTGGAGTAATCCTCTCCTACAGGGCTTCACATCCTGTGCCTGAGCAGATCTCTTCTAATGCCCAGGAGGAGAGAATTTCATGTCAGAGGAGATGGGGACGTTGTGATCTAGCTGTGCCCTACCCTGGTCTTCTCCGATCCCTGCCTCCCAGTGCCACCATCCCGGATTCACCGAATGGGGTGGGATTTACTGCAGGTCTTTGGAGTGAAGCGTCCAGGCCTCAGAGATGGCGATGGACAGTCAAGAGGAGACGGGTGCATTACACAGCATTCTTCTGGCAGCTCCGAGAGCCTGGCTAGGCAGCACTGACTGTTCTTTCCTCCTGGCTCTCCTCTACTCTGTACTCCACTTCCATTCCACTGTAATGAGATTTGTGAGTGTCTAGCACGGTGCGTGGCCCCCGGGAGGCACACAGTCCATGTGTGTTGAACCGCTGGTTGCAGTGAGTGCTGACACCGGCCGTTACCAGCAGCGAGCGCTGCCCAGCGAGTGTATTGCCTCTGGTGCCCCTCTAAAGTTGTGGTCACTTTAGAGCCCACCCATTTTGTGGTTGAAGAAAAGGAGGCACAGAGAAGTTAAGTCATTACCCAAGGGTCAAATAGCGAGTAGGTGACGTAGCTGGAATTGGAACCCAGGTTGTCTAAGTCAACTCTGCTTTTCAGGGAACTCTAGGCCTAACCTTTAATGAAACTGGGAAGGAAGAATCTGCCCTGAAGAACAAATTCTAGTCTGGCTTGTGTCCTGTGGGTCGCAGGCATGCCCTGGGCAGGAGCAGCGCCTGCTCCCAACCCCTGGCCTGGTGACGCTCCACAGGCAGCGCCCCGCCAGGAGAGGCGGGTGCAAGTGGTTGGAGAGCTCCGACCTGCACGTGGAAGGCCTGGGTTCAGGTTCTGCCTCTGCCACTGGCTGGGCATGTGATGCCAGGTGCATCCGCTGACCTCTCTGAGCTTCAGTTTTAGGCGAGGAAGCTGACATGAATGCATAAACACAAGGTACCTTGTCGGAGGCCTGAGGGCATCCACTTCGGGTGATACTGTCCAGCCCCACCAAAAACTACCAGATGGATCAGCATGTCCGGGGCTAGCCCACACCACGCCTCAGTCTCCATGAGAAAGGTGCTGATGCATGTTCACTAACTCACTCGTTCTCTGTAGGTCTAAACACCTCCCAGATGCCAGGGCTTTGCCATGACCCTGGGCTCTGGCCCAGGGAAGTATTGCCTGATGGCTACTCAGGATTCTGGTGTTTTTATGATCACCAAGCAGGTCAGTAGCAAGTTTTAGCCACAAAGATGCTTCCTTATTACCACCCCGGCCCCACCCACCTCAACCAATGCAAGTGTGGGGATGAACTGCACAGATGTTTGTGGAAGTGTGGGTGTGTGAGAAGAACCCCCAAATGGGTCAGAATAGATTCCATAATTGGGGTCCTCCCGTAACCTCCTCCTGCACCCTGGTTTTGAATCCTCTCTCACACTGAAGAGTGGTGTCATTGTGGTGAGGGACTCTTGAGTACACAGCAGGGCTCCACGCCTTGGGAAGAGGGAGAGAAGAGTCCTCTGGCTGGAGAGGATGTCATGTGCTCCTCTCAGCTTCCAGCTAGTCTGAAGAGGACAGCAAGCCAACACCACCTCCCGCTCTCCAGTCAGGAGGCTGTCTGGAGGAGTGGAGAGCTGTCTGTCCTACCCCAAGCCCCAGGGAGAGCACTCAGCTTGTCTTCCTTGTGAGAGGACAGAACTAATGCTGTGGCCTTGGGAGCCACTTCACATTTGGCCCTTGATTTTCCCGTCGGTTTAATGATCAGGCTAAACAGAGTAATCTACCAAGCCCTCTCCGTCCTGTGACTCGGGGAAGATGGCACCAGCACTCGCCAACAGCCCCTTGACCCGCAGCCACCCCAGCCACCCACCCATCCCTGCCGCAAGCTGGGCAGCAAGTCTTGGGGGTTAGGGAAGGGATTTACCTTTTGCTTGAGCAGGTATCTGTGACCAGATCAGGGCAGGGTGTGTATTAGCCAGAGTTTGAGAAACTTAAGAAATGGGGCTTGCCCTGCCGGTTTGGCTCAGCAGTTGGAGCATCGGCCTGCGGACCAGAGAGTCCTGGGTTCAGTTCCCGCTAGGCCCTAGCAGCTAGGGGCACATACCAAAAAAAAAGAGGGGGGGGGCTTGATGGCATCTTGGGGCAAATGCCAGGCTGGGGATGGGCATACCGCTTCTGTCCATGTTTATTGCGGGTGGAACACGATAGTCTCCTTAGG